TTTCTAATTGCATGCCAGCAGTCAGCTTCCAATGTATCAGAATAAAGTTGTTTGAGTGTTTGATGGTCCAGGGATACAGTAGGGAATAGGGAAAACTAAATTAACTAGTTCACTTAATAACAAAAAATAAATATTAAAAGAATATATGGAAAAATAATATATTAAAAAATATGAAATTAAGCGTGTACTTACTTAAAATTGCTTATTCGTAATAGATCCCCTAATATAAACATGTAAAAATATAAATATAATAATATATGGTGTCCTAAGCCTATAATATTTGTACTAATATTCAAAAAAAACAACTTGTAACTGAAATGAAATTAAGCTACTTCCATCCATCCCGACAAAAACTTAAATAAACGGCTAGGACTTTGCCTAGGTGATACCTATTTTGGTCCCTTCGCTGGCTAACACTGGACTCTTTCGTAAAAAGTGTTTTCTTTCACGGGCCAAGTAAAATCATTCTAGGCGTTAGTCTGCTACTGAGTAATTTGGCAACAGTGGCTAGATGACATAACAATAACATCCCTTTGCTCTTGGCAATTGAATTCTTTCTTATGTCAGTAAAACGTTGTATTGTCTCACTTTTTGGCTTTCAAGTCAAATTGAATCGAAGGGAAACAAAAAGGCTTAGAACAAAACAACTTATGATCGAGAAAGTACTTGGATAGCTCCAAAGGCCTACTTACTGGATAGTAAAACACAGTTGCACACGCCAAACAGAACATATGGCCTCTGGTCTCTCCTTTAAAAATAGCTAGTGAAAAAGCGCAGTATAGCACGAAGTATCAAAAAGTATAAAAAAGGATAAAGTCAAGTAATCATGAGACACTCTTATTTAAGATTTTAAGACAAGGGTTGTTGTAAAGAAGCTTTTTTCGTACAAACACTAATAACTTGCCAACCTTTCATGCAAGGACGCAGGCAGGAGAGCCGAGGGGGCCATGCCCCAACCCTTCGTCGCAACAAACTTGCGGCACTTAGGAAATTTATACAGTAATTTTCATTTGCTTTGCTATTTTTTAAGAAAATTTATACAGTAATTTTCATTTGCCTTACAAAGTTTTGCAAAATTAAAACGTAAGGCATTGCGGGCGGGTTTTTTCCAAACAAAATGGCAGATCTTTAATTTTCGGACTACCCTCCTCTAGGAAAATCCTGGCTACGCCCCTGCTGTTCTATCAACATATACGATCATTTTCACTGAATACTAGCGAATATATCCAAAGTACGAAGCCTTTCTGCTGGGGGTCTTTTCACAAGGAGAAGCCAGGCCCTACCATACTTGAGCCCGAACTCTAGCATCCGCACCTTTTTATGCACGTGTGCCTGGCCTTAATCATCGTTTTTTTTTAAATTTTGCCCTACTTTCGTCCACTCTCATGCGCTTTTATGCACACTGATATGTTCTGACTGCAACAAATTATAAAGATCATTTAGTGGGATCAGTTAAATCTGTGATAAACAAGACCATCAAATATATGGTCATGGAAAAAAATACAGTTTTACCTATCTTCCAATTTCAACCAGGCAGATATTTAGCCTCAGATAGAAAAATAAACAAACATAGACACACATATACAGGATATGGCTATAAGGTTGATGTTCAGAAACATTTTGGCCCGTCTGTCTTGTTCCAGAGATGTAATTGTGGCCATTCTTCGCTGGTGCTCCATCGCTGCTCTCTTTGTTTCATAATTGCGCCCTTCGTAGCCACAAAACCAGCTGAGCAATCTTTTGAGTGGTGTTTGATGTGGCAATTCTAGAGAAAAAGTTGAAAAATTGATCAACTTGCAATTATCTGTTGATTTAAAATTTGGCCTTCAAAAATGACCAAGATTGCAGGGGTGTGGCCAAAATTTTCCAATAGGCGTGGCTGCATTGGATCACTCCCCAAAAAATCTCAGCAAATCTTCCTTCTCTCCCCAATGTTTAAAGTTCATGCTTCATAGTGACACGTTGAAGGGGGTCTCCAAGATTTCTCATAGGCGTTTCTAAGGATCACTCCCCACAATAAACCTCAGCTCTTGGCTCTTACTCTCATAAACTGCATCATGTTTTTCCAGATTATAACTGTGTCTTCCATCAGAAAGATCCGTCATTTCAAAGAAGTCTGTTCCGTCATGGACTATTGTTGGGGTTTGAGGTTCTTCGTGATGGTTTTCTGTCTTTTCATCTCCAAAAGTCTGGTTTACGAAGTCCAGCTCATCACGATTAGTCTCGAGATGATCGGTGACCGAAAATTCGTCTTTGCAAGTCCACCATGTTAGTCTTGAAATCTGTAAGTAGCAAGTGTACTTTAAAAAACTTGAAATGCTATCGAACCTTAAGCCAAGTCAAAAAAGAATTATTCCCAGATGAGTTAGGATTTAAATTTCAGTTTCCTAGTGTGGCCTAGCCTGCGTCACATCCGGAATTTTCTTCGTAAATACGGAGAAAATTCCGGATGTGACGCAGGCTAAGTGTGGCCTCCCTAGTCAAAATTTCAAATATCTCTTGGTCCTACAGCCCCAACCCTAGAGCTTGACAATTATAGGAACGTTGAAGCGTTAACTTACGTTAGCATCAGGTAAGGGTTTTGTAAAAGCACTGATAACCAAGATAACAATAGTGGTAATCCAAAACAGGATCATGGCGAAATACATGTAGTGTAAATCAGCTACAATCCCTGGGCGTTGGTCTGGTTCTCCGCATCTCGGTGCCTGGTATGAAAAATCCACCACCATCTTGACAGCACCGATGATAAAACCCACAGTCATCCCAATGAACGCTCCCTGATACGTACAAACGGGTGATAAACACTGATTATTTAAAATCTGCATAGTATCCTATAGCGATAATGATTCTAGGCATGTAATGCATCGTTTGTGCAAAGGAAACGTTTCTAGCATTTTCAATTTTTTTTGTCTTTTTTACTATGGAAAAAATGTGCTGTTTTGTGTCAGGCGTAGATAAGTTATATTTCTTTGCTATTCCAGTTTGTTAGAGTATGATGACATCTACCATATTGTCTATGATTTCCTATCTAGACCTCCCATCTTATGCTAAGTGAAGTATTTGGACCCCCTCCTTTGAACAAGTGTTACAGTTACATTGGTATATACTATCTGACCCCTCTTTTGAAAAACTCCTTGGTTACTTTATTCCTTTCAACCCGTGTGTATCTCTAGCAATTGGCTGTGACTAACCTTTTCAGTAGCTTTTTTCCATAAGATTGCGATCAGATATACACTAGCGATAGGTGGACAGAAATATAACTGGACTTGTTGAATGTAAAGAAACAGCTGACCACCTTGTACGTTTTGAACGACAGGAATCCATAGGACACCGATACCAGTCATCACTGCTACCATAATCCTAGGGCGGATAACATCAAAAAACATTAAAAATCGTGTAAAGTAAGTACTAGGTTTATGATTGAACCTCTGACCCTTTTTGGGCGTATTGTTTTCTCATTTTAAGCCTCTCGAGAATATAAAGCTCCTCTGTTTTAGTTACATCCATGCATCTTTCCAAAAGTTACCGTCAAACACAGGAGCGATATTTCGAACATAGCTCCTGTGTTTGGCGGTAACACTTAAAAAGATGGATGGATGGATGGATGGATGGAGGGAGGGAGGGAGGGAGGGAGGGAGGGATGGATGGATGGATGGATGGATGAATAGATGGATGAACGGATGGATGGAAACTCCAATGGAATAAGAAACTTTAATTTGATTTTGTTTCTTTTAGCTTTGGAGGGCTTCCTGTGGTGTCGTGAATCTCCATGGCAACCAACTCCACCAAGATGCAATACGCACCTTCCAACAATCATCAGTTCCCTCACAGATGCTTTCTTTCTTATCAAGCTATACACATCAATAGTGAAGAGAGTGCTGGCACTGTTAAAGATGGATGTCAAGTCACTCATCAGAGCAGCCATCATCACTGCCATCATAAGACCACGAAGTCCTGCAAAGAAAAATATATGATAAATTTTAGATCAGCAAACACCTCACCTGGAATAACTGAGTCTAACATAACAAGCAATAATCCGAGGTACATACCTGTGGGCATTAGTTTTAGCACAAGCTCTGGGTATGCAATGTTTGTACAACCAACTTCACTACCACAGATCTCCATACACTTCTCTGGCACGCTGCAAGCCACGCGGTCTACAAATGAAGATATTTTTAATGTAATATGTGATGAAGAAATTTCAGGACATTTCGATACCAGTAGACATGGAGCTAATCATAGTGTAATAGAAACCACGAGCAGTGTTGAAAAAATAAATGTTTGGAGAGCATTTCTGGATACATTAGAACTTTTCGTCTTAGTATAACCGGCGAACAAAGTACTTTATACTCAAGGGAAAGACATGAGGTTTGAAATGACAACTTAATTAATGAATCTATAGTGATAATATTATGTGGCTTCAGTTTACCTGGTGATAAAATACGACTGATCATTCCTGGCATGACAAGAGTGAAGAGAGGTAGTATCTTGATGTATCCAGCAAAGATACATCCACCTTGTGCGTGAGATAGACTCTTGGCAGCAAGAGCACGTTGAACTATAACCTGAAAACAAGATGGATGTTTTGCGTTATAAGTCAGTTACGTGCTATTTTCCATTTGAATTTATAAACTACTTATGGCAGCTCATCGATATATTTGGCTAAAAACAGAGAGAATGATGCATGTAGTGCAGCCTATTGCCAGTGAATTACTGACATCTTTGGCGTATACTTTAGTTTTGCTGGTAAGTTCATAGTGCAGTTTTCGTATGACTGTGAAAAGCTGAGTGCCGTAAGCGTCACGTGCCGTGACCGTGACCGTGATACTTTATAGAATTTTAATTGGCTGATTTTTTTTAACACGCAATATGATTGGTCTAAAAGTGCCGTGATCTTGGCGTGACCGTGTCCGCGCTGCACTGTTTATGCCGTGTTCCGGGTATTTGATTGGATAGAGAGTAAATTCTCGTGTAATGTGATTTTCCTGGCGTATCCTTTGATTTGTCACGACCGTGTTCGTGCCGTGAACTTTTCACAGTCATACGAAAACTGCACTATATACCTAAGACAACAAAGACTTTTCTCGAGATTGCGTGCATATCTTTAATTGACGAGCCATAAAAAAAGTTCTCAAATGTTGCGCAACAAATATTTTCTAAAAATCAAAATTGATTATTTATGTCGAAAAAAAATTACAATGTCACTTCAAATTCCTGTTTTAGTCTCTTCGTCCGACCAGTTAATTGGGTTTGGATGTACTTGTTAGTCATTGTCTTAGCACGTAACCAATCAAATTTTGTTGCTGTTTCAGGACTGAAAGTTCAACCCATGCAGAAGCCCAGGTTATAAGATCAGTGCTGTTTTCCTATATTTTTGAGTCATTCCTCGACACGGGGAGAGCTGGGCTGTCCCATAGTGAACCTTCCCTAGATCCACCCCTGATCTGATCTGATCTCACCTGATCTGCACACCAATACCATACACTAGCAATGGACTGACCCAAAATGAAGCCTGGCCAAGGAATATCAGACTTGACGGGATCCCTGAGCATGATAAAAGCATTCTGTGGTGGTCTTCCACATGTGCTGTTAGAATGGAGGGTATCGTTTGATAAGGCTTGCATGTAGAGTCGTTCAAGGAATCCATAACCACCTATCTCTCTGAATCCTATATAGAGAAGTAAGTCAAGAAAGGTAAAGTTTTGCGAAGTGTCAAAGGTCTTCCTGCTCCAGTCACCAATTCAAGGAGAACGTTCGTGGGACGAAACAACGACGAAGAAGCAATGGCGGAACGACAGAACCCATGCTAGAGTAAGTTACGTTTTGGTACTTTTAATCATTTCCATCCTAATACGATACATTTTATTTACTATCTTGCTTCTCATCGGACGAGAGCCCTCAGCCAATACATGATATCCTGTGAACTCGACATGATAAATGCATAATACGTTTGCTATTTCTTTAAAAGCAGAGTTTTAAAATCTTTATTTTTAATTAACAAAATGCCATATAATAAAACAATTATTGAATTCGGTTTTCGCATGATATCGTCGAATAATATCGTAGATTATCAAAACTTTGGTCTTGCTAATTTACGGGATATCATCCTCAGACTCATATCATCATGGCGCCCACCATAGTATTAGCCGCACATTAAAATGACTGAGCTAAAAATAGTTTCTTCATGCTTGCATATGAACTTCACTCCTCCTGAAGTTCTCTTGGATTTAATACTATCCTGGGAAAAGCTCACTGTGCTAACCACTATGACTGCCCGAGAAGCTTCATGAATGCAGAACATTCAGCTAAAAGCAATATTTTAGTTATATCATAAAGAAGGCATTACATTAATCTATACCTACCCATTGCCATAAGGATCAACGAACCAGAAACCATAAGAAACGTTGACAATGTGTCTGTATAGATCACAGCAGCGAGTCCTCCTGTATGGATGTACAATAGATAGAAAGATGGACTGAGATTCTACCAAAAAGCATGCCTGCACAACTGGATCTGATGCCGGCACTTGCATGTGTTGTAAATCATAATCAGAACTACTCACCAGTAATTGTACAAATGCAAGTCAGGAATAATAGAAGAAGAATAGCAAGGTACAGGTTCCATCCCAAAGCAAGCCTTATAAATAATGCGCCAGAAAACAGGTTAACCTGAAACCATACAGACAGAATGAAAGAAAGAAAGAAAGGTTGATAACATCCATCACAAGAGTCAGACCTAACACTGATACAGTCAAAAGCCCTATCTCGATTGACGGTTAACTTAACTATGAGAGGGATCTTTCGGGCTGGATTCGGGACTTAGTAAGGAAGAGGAGAAGGGGTGCGGACAAAGGTGGAAGCTTCTTGTTGGCGATGGGGTATGTTCCTTCGGTCAATACAGGTTTTGCACCATAACGTGCTGGCGGCCATGTTCGATGGCAGAACAATAGAATCACTTTACTCTTTTTAGGTTTTTTATTTTAGCAATACTTACGGATATCTTGGTAAAAACATAAAGTATTAACGCAAGAACCGATAGCCAGACTCTCAGTCTTCGTCCCCCAAATCTTCTCTTGATGTACTCGGGCATAGTGCACACCTGTGAACGCATAAGAGATGAAGTCAACAATTCATATTCGAGTTGCATTTCTTGAGGTTCAGACCATGCAGCTGTGTATGAATGGGTAACTCCAGATGTGTCGAGGTTTAAACGTTCGTATATCTGGTAACGGGTACGTACGTTGGTAGCGACATACTAGCATTCTTAAGTCGTGATCCTTCGGACTTTTCTCATCAACCATCTATGAAGCGAAGTGAATGCTGATGCAGGACACAGTAAACAACACAAGCCCAGGGCGTGCCCCAGGGGGACTCCTATTGGTAAGGAGAACGGGGATTATCGTCGTACCTTTTACGTCGTACCAGTTCTTAGGGTGCCACAAATCTAAAAGGACCACCAGAGTAAACCGGTACCTCTTAGGATCTTTTTCAGATAATATGCTAAAATACTACTTCAGGGCAACATAGCAAACGTTATTTGAAAAAATATATACATACATACCCCGGCAGCTATGTAGACTGGAGCGAACACCCAACCAAGTAACTGTATCATTATCATGGCCTGAAAATGAACTAGATTACATTACATATGCATGGAAGTACTCTATTTTTCAACTTCATGTTTTAACCTTTGCACAAAACTCAAGAATTGTCTTAATGCTGGAGGTGACATACATTAAGTTCAAATGCTCCTACTCCAATGCCAGCAGCAGCACCAGAACCTGCCAACCCAATGAAGTGTTCGCTGCCGATGTTACTGGCAAAGATGGACGCACCAATCTGAAATCAAAATTACCAATACTAGTATGACCACCCAAGCAAGGAGACTAGCCAGGACGTATATCCAGGAATTTTAGGAGAGGGTTTTTACTAGGAAGGCGAGGAAAAGGAGGTGGTTTACCAAGGATAATAATGAGAAAAAAAGAGGGATGGCTAGCCACGCCCTTCACCACCTCTGGATCCGCCCCTGCAAGCAAGTCAAGTAACCGCAAGACTCTTACCGGTAACCAAGTCATAAATCTACCAGCCAGGAAATAACCGCTGACCGTTGATCTGCTGGTTTTAAACATTGCCTGTTGAGAAAGTGTAAGATGAATAGGACGTTTGCATGATGGCTTCATCGACCTCTACTACCAGACTCCCTTGCACACTTTTTTTAGTTCAATTAAATTAGCACCAATTGTCTTACTATTCTCATGAGGAAATGCAAATTTAAATAAAAAAGAAAATTCGCGAAGCATTATGGTATTGAGAGTCAAATGACGCCATAAAATTTTAGATTTATAACGGCCAGGTGTATCAATTGTCGCGGAAACATTTATCTTATCTCATTAGATTTTCAGCGATGTCATTATGCAAAATGGCGGAAATATGTTATAGAATCGCATCTCTTCCGATCCCTCCCCGGATCTGAATACTGGATATAGACGGCAAGATAAGCTAAGGGGTCTTGTGGTGTCTTTAGGATTTTTTATCTGTAGTATGTTGAGCAAAATATAACCCACTAGCGACTTCAGCGACTTTAGCGACTTTACCGACCATTTGACAATTCCTCGAGGGTGGCCGCTTAGTAAAAGTTCAATTTAGTTAATGATTTGTTTAGTGTGCATGAGTGACCATGTATAGCCTATCGTCTTGTATTCTTCTTCTGCGCTGTGATATACAGTTTTTAAAAACAACATGCAAACCTCTACTTAAATGTTTTAGCTGTCATAATGTGATCTGCTGGTTGAAGAGCCGAGGTCATTTTCTCAATGATCCAAACCAAATTATTTCTAGAAAATTCTGAGTATGACACCGACAATCTGAGAAGTATTCAGATGTAACTCATATAATCAGATGTAATTTAGTTGTGTTCTTTTCGGATTGAAATTAATGTCATTTATCTATGCAATGATTAGCAATACATTTCTCACTTGCTATGCTTGCAAATACTCACAAGCTGTTGTTGACTATGCGTGTGATATCGTTTGAGATTATAATGAATGTTTAACCCAAAAATACTACAACAATAAATACTTACATAAACACCTACTCCAACCACCACTAGAAAATACAATATCACTACCACAACATCCCATCCTTGAAGACCTGGAGCACGATATTCAACTGCCATAATTATAAACCAACCAACAACTGTGCGAAGGCAAAGATTTATTCATGCAATCCTTTGTCATTCTACTGCATGACATTCATCTTTTACTTTCTGATGTATATTGTTTCAGTCACGCAATCCTGCACGGGATGCTCAGTAAGGCGTACATCTTCTGGTGTTCGTAGTCTTTTCTCGGTTCCTCTTGTTTTCCAGTATGATGGCGTCTTCCCCACCTGGGCTTCAGGGATGGGACATCGTTATTGTCGTAGTGTTTTTTTCGGTGGTTGTGGCTATTGGGATTTATGTAAGTATCTTGTGTAAGGTCAAAACACACGTCTGGGGAGCATCAATGCTGTGTTCGCTGACTCTTCCATAACAATAGGTATCTCTTTCTCACGATATTAAAGGTGATTATATATATTCTGCTAGAGAAGGTGGCCTTCTGAAGTCGGGCCCGGAGTCGAGCACCAGTGTGCAATTATGGGTTTAACTCCCTCATGCATGTATACTAATTTAAACATGACAATCTTAATAGCGCTATTCCGGCGACAAACGTTCAGGTTATGGTTTTGCTTATGGTTTTGATTATATTCGTTGTCTTACAATGAAAAACGTTTGTCGAATTCTTTGTTTTTCTTCATGCAAGTGTCTGCTTTGAGCAATCAACTGCTCGTTGGTTCATTAATCAATCCGCGTGATCCGGCATGGAATGACTTTTTTCTAGCTCATTTTTCTACGTGTACATCAATCACATCATCTTGCAGACACAATGAACACCCACAAAAGTTGCAAACAATGAGAACAATGAGTGTAGTCCATACAATGCAAACAGCTGACTTTGCCATGAATTGTTCCAAAAGTAGCTGAACTGGTCCAAAAGTTATGTGTTCTTTTGAATCGACTAGTCCATTGGCGATAACTTTTGTTTAAAGTATTTATATCTTTATTAATACCTGCTAATTAATCATCCTCTAGTCTTGCAAAGCAATATTACCCTTCGACAAAGGAATTTGCAACCCTTGAACTTTATAGTTACCACAAATGATACCCAGATGATTGATCTTGGAGAAGCTGCCATCATGATGAATGTAACGCCAGTACTTGGTTATAAAAACTGTGAAATTCTGTACTCATTTGTATTAAAAATTCTAACTTTAGCGGCCACTTGGCGAAAAAGTCTGGGGAAAAGGTTATGTACAATTTTTAGACCTCTATTAGGCGACCACCCTCTATTTAGCGACCACCCTCTATTTAGCGTGAGCCAGTTGTCAAAGTGGGATTTTGCACTACTAATGAATCGATTTTAAAAGTGGCCAACCTCTAGTTTTTGAAACTCTGTGGAATTTGTATTACAAGTAATTATGTAAATGCACCTTAAATAGGGGCTTTTCACATTTGCACCATGCAAAAACATATATACATCTCGTTATTTTTATTCCCGCTAACATCTAATACTGCAGGAAACAGAGCTGCATTGAGTTGCCAAATGCTGCTTAAGATGCGGTTTTACGAACGACAAAATCGCCAACTCGTCGCGCAACATTACTTTCACAACTGTCGCGCACAGCGTTGAAAGTTGCAGAGCGAATGTGGCTCGTTTTACCACCACAACAAATTTTCTTTGTTGCAGAAACTAGAAAAAACTTCGCGTTCTACTTTTGCAACAAAGTCGCACAACAAAATTTTGTTATTGCACGGAGTGGTAATACTAGCGACAATCGCTTAGCAACTTACAATGCAAATGTTGCAGGACAAGTTGCACGATTTTGTTGCAGGTATTACCGCACCTTTAAGGCTATGTTTGTCATGTGTAGCAAGTCAGTGTTAAACATACTTAGTAGTCGGCAAGAGAGAGCTCGAAGTGGGAAGATTTGAAATGAAGTGATTAATTGTTTTTCAGTCAATGTTCCGAACAAACCGTGGAACTATTAGTGGATATTTCCTGGCTGGAAGATACATGACTTGGTTACCGGTAAGCTCATCAGTTCACTTGTAAGAGACTTGTATCCCTACAACACCCAGATGATTATGACTCAGACTTAAATTTTGATTGATTGAATTACGACACCACAAACGTCTGGGCTATTGGCGCGTGTAGGCGCTCTCTTTTCTATCCCCTTACTGGGAACGACTAATAAGGTGGGAGGAGAAAGGGAACGTATTCACACATGCCGCTTACTATTGGTTCACTAAGGTTGGTGCGTCCATCTTTGCCAGTAACATCGGCAGCGAACACTTCATTGGGTTGGCAGGTTCTGGTGCTGCTGCAGGCATTGGAGTTGGAGCATTTGAAGTAAATGTAAGTTGAAAAAATAAAGAACGCCTAGAAGTGTCTTGTTTAGAAGTTGCAAAATGAGAAACAAAAAAATTTAAAAGCGGAGAGATTGGTGATCACTTACATATATTAGTTAAAAAGGCGTTTTATTGTTATTGCAGGCAATGATAATGATACAGATACTTGGTTGGGTATTTGCACCAGTTTACATCGCATCAGGGGTATGTAACAAGTATATATATGGTTTAAAGTCTCTCTAAAGAGAATAAACGTCGCTTTCATGCAAAACACAAACAACTTAATATAATGTCTTTTTTTCATTACGTTGAGTGGTTTTTGAATGAGTGAGGGGAAACGGTACGGCAAATACTTAGCCGTATACTGTATGTTACCGAAACCGTAACCGTACGTGTTTTGATTGGATAATTTACTGAAAGATCTCAGAGCGGTTTTGGTATGAGTGGGAAACTTACGTTACTGACTTAAAGCACGTACATGGTACGACATGCCGCTAGAGAGTGGTTTTGGTATGAGTGGGAAACTCACGTTACTGACTTAAAGCACGTACATGGTACGACATGCCGTAACATTGAAATGGCATTCCATTGTCTTCCAATAACTTCTCCAATCACAGCGCGTAGTTACAGTCACGGTAACCGTTTGTTTCCCACTCATACGAAAATCGCTCTATTAATTTTTTTGTCAAATGACAATATTAAGTGGAAACAAGAGAATATGAACTAAGAAGTTCATATTCTCTTGGTGGAAACGTGTCGTATTACTTGATAATTACAGGTATGTACACTACCCGAATATATTCGCAGAAGGTTTGGAGGAGTAAGAATCCGTGTCTGGCTTTCGGTGTTTTCGCTGCTACTCTACATCTTCACCAAGATATCTGTGAGTTGTCTTTTCTAGTGTCTCTTTTTAGAATAATACTAACAGATCAGATTTCGTATGCCTGTGAAAAACTAATGGACAACGTTCCGTTCCGTTCCGTGACCGTGACGGCGGCGCGTCTGAAAATCTTGATTGGTTGAGCCATAAATTTTCAATAGTAAAGAATATCTCTCCATACCATGGTTCTGACCCATTCCGAAATTTTTCAGTTTGTCAGAAAACTATTATATAATGAAAGTCAGCTATAATCCATGTTTATGATTCTTTTTTTGAAAGATTTTATATTTGTCTCCAGGTCAACCTTTTTTCAGGAGCTCTTTTTATCCGACTAGCTTTGGGATGGAATCTCTATCTGGCAATTCTCCTTATGCTATTCATATCTTGTCTTTGCACCATTACAGGTCAGTTCAGAGTTAACTTTGTATCTATGGATTATACGGCGTGTTTTTTTTTTTCAGGTCGCGATCACGTGAAGACACGAAACAATCTGATATATATGGTCGGGATGATCTTAGGGAAGCAAGGGGGATTTGCGCTGCTTATGTACCACCTCTCACTGCTGTTGTAGGTCGTAGAAGTTCGAAACTCAGACTCATAACCATATAAGAGCATACTGAGTTGATCGTTATTCCTTTCCTGTGCTTCGAGAGTTTTTTCAATATCACCGTTTTTTTCCTCCCCCAACAAACTCAATCAACTATCAATATTTTATTTACCGACCATGTCCGATCCCAATAGGGGATATTGGTCAGGCATTAACGCAAAGAGGAACTCAAACCTTATCTATATCAAAAGTGAAAACCTTGGCCAACAACTCGATCGCCTTTATTACGGTGTTTGGCCGGTATTTTTTTGTATCAGCGCTGATTAAAGTAGCCGCACTTGGTATTCTCTTTGGTATAACAAAAATAAGGATACCAATGTATTTATTCTTACTGTTACTGTTGGTCAGGTGGTTTGGCAGCTGTCATCTACACTGATACCCTGTGTACGACACTCATGACGGTCGGATCATTGATTGTGGCAATTATGGGTAAGACTATACTTTGTTAAGCCTTAGATCGGACTTAGACTCAGCTCTAGAAGCTGTGGAGATCATGCAACTGAGAAAACTGATTCTATAAGTCAGTCCCAGTTGGGTTTTTTTTTTTTTTTTTTTTTTTTTTTTGAAAAGTTATTTTTTGTGTATTCCAAATTAGGATTTTCAAAAGTTGGTGGCTACAATGCTCTTCAAGAAAAGTACATGGTAGCTGTATCCAATGACACACTGTTCTCCAACAGTACATGTGGAAGACCTCGTCCTGACTCCTTTCTCATGTTAAGAGATCCTATCAACTCTGATATTCCATGGCCTGGCTTTATTATTGGTGAAACTATTATTTCTATCTGGTATTGGTGTGCTGATCAGGTCAGTAAGGGCCGCGTAAGCTGTGGTGCCACACTTTGCTCTCTACAATATATTAAATTAGTGAACCTTATCTTGTTTCATCACGATACTCCAGTTTCAAGTTCTCTGTTGCTCAGGGTTAGCCTCGATCTTGTGCAGAATATTCACGTGACATGAAATGACATAACTAGCTTTCCACCAGTTTGCACTATAGGACCTTCTTTTCTATAATAGCATCCCCAATCATAATACAGTGCATGGTGAAGCAATATTTCCGCTTGCCTCGTTATGCCTTAGACTTGCATCACTCATAAAAACCAGAAGAGTGCCGTCAAAACGAAAGTCCATGAGATTTAACTCAAATTTCGTTTTCCACTTTAGGTAATAGTCCAGCGTGTTGTGGCTGCTAAGAGTTTATCTCACACTCAAGGAGGATGTCTTTTAGCAGGTTACCTCAAGATTCTTCCACTTTTCACTCTGCTCATGCCAGGAATGATTAGTCGTGTACTGTCACCAGGTAATGGACATTTTAATAGATTCATTCATCTAGGGCATAACGCATGTTTCCCATTTCAAGCCTCATGTCATTCCCTTGAGAATTATTATACTTAACTTCAAAGATTATTTTCTCAGCACTGCTCGTGGTTTATATTACACTATGATTAGCTTCATGCCTGCTGGTATGGAAATGTCCTGAAATTCCTTCATCGCATATAAAATTGAAAATACCTTCATTTGTAGACCGCGTGGCTTGCAGCGTGCCAGAGAAGTGTATGGAGATCTGTGGTAGTGAAGTTGGTTGTACAAACATTGCGTACCCTGAGCTTGTGCTAAAACTAATGCCTACAGGTATGTACCTGGATTATTGATCGTTAGTATGTTAGACTCAGTTATTCCAGGTGAGGTGTTTGCTGCTCCAATTGATCATATATTTTTCTTTGCAGGACTTCGTGGTCTTATGATGGCAGTGATGATGGCTGCTCTGATGAGTGACTTGACATCCATCTTCAACAGTGCCAGCACTCTCTTCACTATTGATGTGTATAGCTTGATAAGAAAGAAGGCGTCTGTACGAGAACTGATGATCGTCGGGAGGTAAAGTAGTAAACTAGGACGCAAAGCTTTTGTATTCCTTCCTAGTACTAATCCAAGGTGTTTAACTAGAATAATGGTTGCTGTCATGACGGGTATTAGTATTCTGTGGATACCTGTGATTCAAAACGTACAAGGTGGACAACTATTCATGTACATCCAAGCCGTTACAGCATATCTCAGTCCGCCCATCGCCGCTATCTATGTTGTTGCTCTCTTTTGGAAGAGAGCTACTGAAACAGTAAGTATGTCTCCAGAGTAGAAATTTTCTTATGAAATGCATATATAAACATAAGCATTGCCAGATATACTGCTCCTTCTCATTCTCCAAATATTGCCATAATGCTGTTCTTTTCCAGTCATAAAATAAAATAAAATAAAACCCTCGAAGCAGAGCAGAGAACCAACAAACAACTCTACTCACATACGACACCGAGCCCTGCGGTACTCGAACCCGGGTTGCATTGGTGAAAGGCGAGCGCTCTCACCGCTACGCCACCCATGCCTTTCCAATTTTTCTTCGAGACTCATATAAAATGGACGTTTGATCAATAATGAACAAAATGACTTTATATACTTTTATATTTCTTTTATCCAGGGAGTATTCTGGGGTATGATAACAGGCTTTGCAGTTGGTGTAATAAGAATGACTTTAGACTTCGTGTTCCAAGAACCGCGATGTGGTGAACCTGACAACCGTCCAGCCATAACACGACATGTACACTTCATGTACTTTGCCATTATTGCGTTTTTGATAACAACCATTGCCATCGTTATTATTAGCTATCTGACCAAACCCTCAGCCGATAGGAAAGTAAGTCATCTCTGCATAAACTTATACTTGCAATACCGAATTGAAGATCCTCAATTTTCGTTTTATGCTACCCTGGGTTAGAGAGGCATTCTTGCTGTAGTGTTCCCTAGACTAAGAAGCTGTCCCACTTTTCCACCCAGGACTCAGTAATTTGTTAGAATACCAAGATTTGCATAGAAAAACAAACCCAGAGCAATTAGTTTACCAGCTCATAAATTCGTGGCGTAGATATTAGAGTAATACACCTTCATAGACCATAATTCCATTGTTTTATTTTGTGTCTATTTGACTATTACACGTTGACTATTGTATGTTGTTTTTTCCCCATGTTACTTTGAAACATTTTCAATGACTATAACTGCACTGATTTCTAGTTCTCTAGACTGACCTGGTGGAACAGATATGATGAATCTTCAACTAATGATCATCTAGAAACAGACCGAGATAACGAAATAGCGATGGAACATTTGCAGTTTAATGTTTCTCGTGACAACTCAGATGCAGAGAGTGAAGAGATCGCCGACAAGAATGTTGACATACCGTTAGACAAGAACGACACAGATGGTTTGTATAAAAAATTAAAATAAAATAAATCATTAATCACTTTTATCTAAGTGTCTAGTCGTATCCACTAAGGCTGCGTTCACAATGTATGGCAGAGGGGGGACAGGTGAAATTGAGGGGGGATCGGGAAAATTTTGGTAGGAAAAAGGCCGGGGGGATGGGAAAATGTTTATCAGAAAAATGGGGGGGATGCACAATTTTTGGAAGAAGCTACAAGCCTTGCTTAGGGGGGATTGTATTTTTTTGCATGACTTTAAGGGGGGGTGTTAAGAATTATTCTGGACATTTCAAATTTTCACCTGCCCCTCCCCCTCTGCCATACATTATGAACGCATCCTAAAGTTTGCAATATTTTCAAACTAGAGCGTTTTCATGAATATGATTATGAGCTTTGGTGTCGTAAGGCCTGTTTTCCATTTTAGACCACATGTCATTTCCCTGAGTATTATGTCTTTGCATACCATGGCACTAGGGTACAAGAGACGAATATGACTCTAACAAACGATATTATTCTCAAGAGAATCACGTATGGATTGAAGTGGGAAATTATGCCAAATATCTGAAGATGATTGTAGAAAATTGTCGAAAACAGCGTACCATTTGCGACCTTGATGAACAAATATTGGTTAAATATGGCGCGTTACCTTTTCAATGTTTTGTAAAATAGTTTTAAATCGCTATTTGAAGCCACTTTTTTCTTGGATTCCGGCTAAGTTCGCTAACCTATAAGGGAACACAAAAAGGCTTGGAAGTAGTTGACATCATATTATTATTTCTTGCATTTGCAGAACCTCATCCATCGCGGATAAAGAGGTTTTACAGTTGGTTCTGTGGCTATGAGGCAGGCAGCGAAGAAGCAAAGAAAGCAGCAATGCAGCAGCAACAGAGACTAGCTATCATCTGCTCCCTTAAACAGAACTCTAAAGCAAAAATCTTTCTCAACGCCAACTTTCTCTTCATTTCAGTCTTGTGCGTGTTTATGATGGTGTATTTTTCAGTTTAGGTCACAAACGCTTTTATCAAGACAATTTTGATTTATACTTCTTGTCCACCACACGTAATTGAAGGTAGTATTGTAAACACTAAGTAGTCAGTTTTCCATGCAATGCGTCTTAATTTTGGATTTAATTACTTCACTAAAGTGGAATCAATTATTTCACAAAAGTGTATTGCAGCTTCACCAACATGGGATCAATGTTCTACGAATCAAAAGCTGCAATGTTCGCCAATAGTAGCACTCAATTTACCTCACGCAACGATTCGGTGTGGCTACAAATTTAGATACAAGGTTTTGATATATTACCTTGGATAGTTTCTCACGAAGGTGGTCATAATGCACTTCAGTGTTATGTAGCTGGACAAAAAGCGAAGATAGGCGGGAACCTTTGAGCAACACAATATTATAATGCCTCGCTTTTGGGGACCAAGGAAAGTACGTAAGGGCGTGGCAGTACACTCGTTAGCGCCGGTTTATAATAATAATTTGGGTCACTTCATGTTCATGTTCTACTGAATGGACCCGAAGTGTGCGACGATATTAGAACTTGTATCGCAAAAAGTAGAAGACAGGTTGCAAGAAATTCTGCTTACTAACGAATATTTTTCCAGCATAGATGTACGTAGATGTGGTTAAAAGAAGAGCTTGCTTGAAAAACTGGACAACATAATTAACATGTTTTTGATTGACATCCAAGAATGCTCGATTTTCTAGTGCGTGAAGGATGTCTTGGTCGATTGACAAGGGTTGCAAGTACTATCTTTGAGTTATGTGCCTATGAGGAAATGGAAAGTGTAATGGTGCTTTTTAGTCATGATCCATTGGGTAAACGAGTGATTGAACGCACTCAAGGAGAATAAAGCAAGAGGACATTAGGATGAAAGAAGAGCACTAAAGGCATCTGATCTCCAGAGGGTATGCTACATGGTACAAAACATGTACTACTTATGTATCCATGTAGCTCTAGCTTGTTGTGCCTAAAAATCAATGGGGCTAATGGCAGAATGTAACAGGGAAGCTGCGTGGAGGTTGCCACGATTTCCCCTTCCTGGAAAGCTTCCCGTCTTCCTTATTGCCTAAGGGCCCATTTAGTTCTCCAAGGAGCAGGTCAATATTGGGTCCTTTCCAACTTGTTTTTTGCCTTTCCCTTCCATTTCCTTCATTCCCTTTTTTCTTTCTTTTCATTCTTTTCTGTGTTTATCCTTGTCAGATCTGTTAAATTTTTTGCCAATTCTAGTTTATATTTTAGCAGATAATAGTGTTCAAGGGTGACCAAGAGCATAGCTAGTATTTACTATAGGGGTTTCATTAAAGGTCTGGATGGGAGACTGCTCCAGTAAATGAGCAAAATTCTCTGTCTTTAACTACCATTTATAGTTTAGTAATGTGTGAAATGTTCAATTAGACACTCGGGCTAGTTTATGACTTTCTCCTATCATTTCAAAGCCTAATCAAACCCCTGCCAACTATGCCAAAAGCAACAATAACAATAGCTATCACCACCAGCAAATGCCATCTACACAGTACTTTAAGACTTATTCTTAAACTTTATTGAATTTTGAGCTCCAAAGTTGTCATGTAAGAATATCCCTAACCAGTATTGAATCAGAGCAGTCTTCTCCCAGACAACAACACAATTGAAGGATGGTGTTTGGGAGATACCAAGGTATTGATTGTTAGAATAAGGATTTTCAATGATTATTACTATGTTTAAACAATCAGCAATAAAAGTAATCAAGATCTTGATTCAGTGGTAAATATAATTCAAAAAGTTTGCATACAAAATTTGTTTCTAGCAATGTGTATCAAAAACTGCAGTCACATACAGCTGTTGTGATTGAGTTTGGTTTCCATTAGCAACCCAATCAACAAAGCCAAACATCTAACCACATTCGTCTTTTCTTGTTGATTGTGTTTCTAGTGAAAACCTAGAATTTGTAAAAAAGAAAAAAAATTACTGATGGTCCATAATTGTTGTATATCAAAATGTTTTACAAACATTCAAGTCATATTTTAATTCCTTGTAATAGAGTATCAAGCATGGTTAAAAAGGAAAACAACAGCTTGAAGTACACCTTACTCCACAGGTACATTAATTTGGTGGTACAACAGCCACAGGGATTCCAGCATGATGAAGTACATAGTCACTAACGCTGCCAAGAATGGTGCGGCGGACCTTATTTTGGCCACGTGTTCCCATGATGATGAGCTCAGCATTACAAGCTTTGGCCTTTGCAACAATTCCTGTACCTGCACTCTCGTTGGGGATATGATGGAACTTATACTCCACCTGCAATATAATAAAATATAGTTGTAGTTAATAGTAGTTCCAGACCTTTGCTACTAAATATATGCAAGAAGACTTCATTAGGTGTTTTCGAGGATTTTTCAATAATAATGTTTTTCAACTTGTCTTCATTCAAGTCTGTGTGATAAGACTGACAGATTTTGTTGCTTTTCCCTGGTTTTTTAATGTAAATCCAAACAAATATTCTTGAATGCCATAAAAGAATTATTTTTAGTTTGTTCTCATTACTGTAAGAGTCATTGTCAGAGAAAACGTGAATAGAACCTTGCATTTTCTGTGCATACTTCAACATCCACAGAAATGCTCTTGTTTTTAACGATTTGATTTGACTAGGCCCCAAATTTCTATATTCTCTGATGGCTCCTCTATCCTTTCTGCATGAATATTTTCATCTCTCTTACCTTAGCTCCCTGAGCTTTAAAAGAGAATCCATCTTCAAGTTTTCCAACTTCCTCCAACTTCTTTTTCATGATTTCGCCCCATTGTTCTGTAGGTGCACCAATACCACCTAGAAATAGAAAAATGGAGCAATGAATTCGTGAAACAGAGAAATACAATGCTGTTTCTTTACAGAGTAATCAATTTATCTTTTCAAAATATTCTTTTTATCTGTTCATATTATTTCTCGTAAGAAATTTTTTTCTCATTTTGAGAGCTTTTGTAGTACCCTTGTTAAAGTGTATTATGGCCGAATTGTATAAAATATGTAGTTTGTTAGTAATAATAAGAATATCATACCTAAATTTGTTTCAAAAACTTATTTCTTGAGATACTTGAGAAAATTTAGCACACTTTGTTACGTCATTTTGGTGACACACTCTAGATTAGTAATGCACCAAATATAAAATGTAATTTGTATGAAATAACAACAAAAGGCAGCTTCATTTGATAGCTTACGTAGTGCTCTTCAAATGTTGAGAAACTGATAATTTAGTGTACTCCCTGAAATCAAGGTCCTACATTACATTCAAACAGACTTCATGTATTTGCAACTGAATCTGAAGAATGAAAAGGTTGGTGCTAAATTTTCTTAAATATCTAGAGAAATATGCTATTATATCAAATTTAACTGTGATATTCTTATTATTACCAATAAACTACACATTTTCAACATTAATCTTTCTTGTGTCATATACATTTTAATGTGTTCAAGGATGGGGAGCAGCACAAATCCTGGACATTATTGCTATATAAAGTTATGACAAACTAAGTATCACTTGCTTAAAATTTGGCCAACTACGGTATTTACCAAAAATACATGAGGTGGCAGACTGTAGTATGATCGATTATCTTGTGTATCGAAAACTCATAAGTTGGATAACCTTTCATGGTACTGTAAGATTAGATTCCAGTCTTTCTTTAGGATATGACTCTCGAGACACAAGTTTAAAATTTCCAGTTGAAAGTGAAAAAAAGCATACCAAAACCATATTGAAGAACAGGCATTACTTACTCTTTAGACTAAAGACTGGTAGGCTAGGTGGTTCAGTTACATGGATAAATTCAACCTTGTCTTTATCCTTCCTTATCTTCTGAAGATACCCTGAAAAATATATTATGTCAGCTGTGTTTAAGAGTTTCACCATGCATGATGGGATGGCCCTGGACCCTCTATATGCACCATAGATGAAGGCCTCCTCTTAAAAGATTGGTTATTATATTATTATTATTATCATCATCATCACTATTTACATTGTCTAGTGTTGATGGTTTTTATAGCCACCATATTTTGGACGAATTTAACAAAAGGTTTGTCATAGTCTTTTATTGGAGTGCTTTTTCGTTATATATTCTAACATGGCCACTGTGTCTTCACTGTCAAACAGCTACGGATTTGAAGATATTAGATTATATAGAAATGATTCATAAACTGGAAAAACAAGTATTGGACTCCAATAAGCCATCAAAATCTGGATGGTCCTACAAACAAACTTAATTAAGGGATGGGCAAGCTGTATAAGTAAAAATCACTTAATTTTGAGGTTAAACATAAAGATAAATTTATTCATCATATGTTCATCAACTACCACATAAGCTTGAATATGGCTGTTGAATCTTAATTCTTAGGAATTAATCCCAGTATTTGGCGAAGAATTGTTTGTTTTGAAAAAATCAACAAAGCTGTAGCTTGGGCACAGCTAACGTATGAATTTATAATGAGTCTACTGAACGAGAAAATCAAAATTTCTTTTCGTGGCACAAACGGGGTCGGATCGTCCTTAGGCCTGTTCTAACAGCAAAATGGATAGTTACAGAAGTTAAGAGACACACTGTAAGACATATAAGTGTAATCGGAAAAGCGTAAAGTTTAACATTTGTACATTTCGAAGATGACGACACAGGACACTTGCTCGAATCCTATTAATTCAAGCTATTTTAGCTCACTCTGGAAGTTCAGATTACGACAGGAATAGGATCGAATCATAGAATTGTAGACATCCGACTTGACATTGGCAGATAGCTAAGGAAGTGACCTCTTTCGTAAATGTAAAATTCACAATTGAACCTGTACTACATAACCGAAATAGCGAGGGTACGCCGGTTTATACGCTCTGTAACTCATCCAATATGCATCATGTATTCACCTGAACTATATTGGATAAAATTCTTTGAAATCAAAAACTGACATACTCACAGTCAAATGCATGTTCACTGTAATCACTACCGTCTACAGCTACGGCCACAACTCTACGATCGCTCGACTCAGCCATGTTCAGGGAAGTAGAATATATTAGAACTCCAAAGGAAGCAGCTCTGCCGTGAAAAGCATGCACCAGCTTATGTTAAACCTCGTTATAACACTCATCCTGATTGGTCAACAGTGGCAAGATTTAACCCATTATGATCGTTGTTGTATTATTACTGGTTCCCAGACCTTGCCGTCATGGGTATGACTTATACTCACCATGACGCGTTGTTGACTTGAACGCCGTCGACTCGAAAGATATAGAAAAATGTGTACAAGCTATTTTCCTTAAAAGAAAAACAATTCTGAAAGATTATTGCAATCCTGAGATACTAAATGGCTACTGGAAAGACCCACAAAAATACTGTGTTAATTCCTGTGGATGGAAGCAAGAACAGCATACGTGCATTTGAATGTAAGCTATGTAATCTAATTTTGTGCTAAGTAAGCTTTTAAATAAGCAAGCTTATGTTCGTTGAATGATAATATGATCTAGGGAAAAAAATTCAATATCGTAAATAAGTAATGTATAATGTAATGTATAATGTAATGTCTAGTGCATATTAGTTCTTTGCTTTCCGTATGATATTCTGTTCGAAACGGATGTGGTCAATGATTCAAACATCAACATCTATGCAGTGTCAGGTGTGTATATTGAAAGAATAATTCACATTTTTAGGGCATATGGAATTTTGACAGAATGTTGAGCCAGTTACCAGTTGCTATGTTTACTGCAAAATATCATTGAATAAAAATAATTGCATTTCAATTGCCCTATAGACCGGTTCAGCACTCCCAGAGCCGTATCCACTTAGAGGACAAAACAATGAGACTGAATGTTCTTTTGTTTTGTCTTCTTAATAATTGGTTTGCATTGGGAATATCCTGCAAGGGGTCTATATCACTTATATCACTAAGACATCATAGCTTGTTTATAAGGGGGCAACAGAATGATGAAGAACAATAAGAATTTGGACTAATTTTACTCTGCAGATGAATTCATAGCTCTGATTTATCTGGTTTTCAAACATTTTATGAACCAGTGTTTATCTTATAATGTATATGGTATGGCTGTACTGCAAAATGCCCCACACACTTTTCCTACTCTGTGTAGCCAGTGGCTATGGCTATGGGTAGAAGCGTAATCACTTCGAGGATGAAACTTAAACATAGCAACAGCTACATGTATGCATCTTAGTCTTCTCACACGTAGCCACTTGAGCATGCATAGCTACTATAGCATACATTCTAATCAAAACTTTTCTAAAATGTAAGACATATGGCCCTACCTCTTTTTGACTTGTAGCCACGCTGCTGCTACAAATGTGAATTTCCAGAAATTATTCATACCCCCTCCCCCCACAGAGGAATTTTTTTCAGACCCCTCTACCCCCCCTCCCCACCACCCCCAGAAATTTCAATATTTTCTTCCATATGAACTCTGTAATTTTGTTCTTCCTATGATCCCCCTACCCCTCGGAAATTCCAAATTTCCAAATTTCCAAATTCCTCTGTTAGGAGGAGGGGGGAGAGGGGGGGTAAGAATAATTTCTGGAGCTACAAAATATAGTCTCGTTCTAATCATAACTTTTATGAAATCTAAAACACAGTACTGCTCTTCTTTTTGACATGTAACCAGGCATACACACATAGCTGCACCTTAACACCTCAACATTCTTTCTTTCACATTTTTATAGTTGACTAACTTTGCACGCTCTGATTGATTCAATGCTTCTGTTCTGTCAGTAATAATGGAACAAACAAATATGGTGATCACTATATATGATTCATTAATTAAATGAAGATTACGGGTAAAACGCGTAGAATTTTTAAAAAACATGACGTTTTGGCTATAACTAGTGATAGCCTTCATCAGAATGATGATAAAAATGTGTGAAGTGTGTAATGGTATGTAAACAAAGTGTGGGAAGAGGCAATGAAGTGATAAATGAGTAAAATGTCTATTTTTCTCTGGTGGGATTGTCATGGCAAAGGCAGTCTGAGTCACTAGTGTTCTTGATAAGTCTGGTCCAGGTAGAACCAAGGTGGTAGGAATCTTCTCTGTTAATATTATTAGGGCATTTGAATGTTTCGATGGATTCTTTGATAAGACAAGGGAATTATTTAGAGGTCTTGGCGAGAACTTGAACAGAATTAAAATTGATGTTATGATCAGGGTTGCCGTGAGCGTGATTGGCAATGGTGGAAAGATAGTATTGTCTATTCTTTGTTTGTCGTTAATGCTGTTTTATACAGCAATCACTGGTGCGGCCAGTCTGTCCTATGTAGCATTTACCACAATGACATGTGACAAGATCATATGCCTTCAGTCTGTAATGGTTTATTATTTTATATTACAATTTATTTTTCCTTTCTGTATATTATAGTAAAGGAATGACATAACTTTTTCTTCTGTAATACAGCCCTATAGGTTGTGCTTGTTCTCACACTTCTTTTTTCATCAATACACCAATAAGTGCATCCATGTATATTATAGCTGTTTATATTTTCTATCATATCATTTTTTAGGGTATTGCAGTCATGTAAAAGAAGAAGGAGATAAGTTAGTAATTGTTCATGCTTATACTATTCCTCCTATGCAAGCTGCTAAGCACTGTGAGTAATCACATTAGTTAACAAACCCTTCTTTTTTTTCAAGATAAAATGTTACCAATTCTACTAGAGAGAGAGAGAGTGGAGGCATGTCCTGGGGAAAGAAAGTGGGTGTGAATATACAGTCTGCAGACCGAGAAAGATTGCATGAACAAGAACAAGTGGGGAGCACTGGGGAGGGAAAGTGTGGGAAACACTGAGGATGTATAGTAGGGTTCTACTGGGAAAGAAGAGTAGAAGTGCAGAATACTGGAGAGAGTGGGGAGCACTGGGGAGGGAAAGTGTGGGAAACACTGAGGATGTACATGTATAGTAGTGTTCTACTGGGAAAGAAGAGTAGAAGTGCAGAATACTGGAGAGAGAGTGGCACTAGGGAGGGAGTATGGGGTGCAGTGTTATACTGGTAAAGAAGAGTATAGGGGTGGAATACTGGAGAGAGTGTAGGGAGTACTGGGGGGAGAGTATGGGGTGCAGTGAGGAAGGAGTAGTGTTATACTGGTAAAGAAGAGTAAAGGGGTGGAATACTGGAGAGAGTGTAGGGAGTACTGGGGGGAGAGTATGGGGTGCAGTGAGGAAGGAGTAGTGTTAAAATGGTAAAGAAGAGTATAGGGGTGGAATACTGGAGAGAGTGTAAGGAGTACTGGGGGGAGAGTATGGGGTGCAGTGAGGAAGGAGTAGTGTTATACTGCATGGGAAAGAAGAGTATAGGGTGGAATACTGTAGAGAGAGTGTGGGAAGCAATAAGGAGAGAGAGTGTGGGGAGCACTGGGGAGGGAGAGTGTGGAGAGCTCTGGGGAGAGAGTATGGTATGCAGTGTGGAAGGGCTAGTGGGTTTCAAAGTAAATTTTGTGCCCTGTACACATAAATTTGCAACAAAATGCTCTATGGCATTGAAACCTTGACCATTACATGTAGTTTCAACTTCTTTAGAAGATTGTGTAATATTTTTATTATATTATAGTCATGAAACACATCTTTAAAAATTATTGATGATGACAGAGATTAAAACCAGCAATATGTTATGTCATAGTGGGAGGTGGGAATAAATACAGCAGTACAGTTATTTTTGCTTGTGGAAGTTCTGCGATATAAGTAATTCAATATTTTTTATCTTTGATGGTTTTAGCAAGTGTTGATTTTAAGAACCAGTTGTTAGAGTGGCACATATTAATCCAAAAAGCAGAAGAAAAAGCTAGAAGCATACTCAAAATATTTGAAGAGGGCTGTAAAAAACTCAAGGTAATCATATAAACATTAAAACAAGTTAGGCCTAGGGCAAACGTCGAACTTTTCATGCACCTCATTAAAAACAACTCATTACAAAAAATGGATATCAGGTGATAATGAGGCGGCATTCTTTGATGTAATTAAGTTCGGTGCATGGAAAGTTCGACGTTTGCCCTAGGCCTTAGAAGTTATATTAATTTTGCACTTTGGCATACATGTATATCTCTTATTTGTGATGAAAATTTTCATTTTTGGACAATTTAGTTGGATTTCAAAGTAAAAGTGATTAGGGATGTACAGTTTCATGAACTCAATGACATATGGCTGTTTCAAATATATATGTTTGAGATGCCTTTGAATTTTATTGATTGACGTAAATTTATGGCCATCATGAAATGCTACACCATGAGAAATATTTGACACTGGACATAAATCTATGTCAACATGAAAAAGTGAAAAAGTGTAAATATAACTTTTAATTTGTTTGATTTAACATTTGATTGTGGTAACTCAGGAAAAGGCCATTATATTATTGTTATTGCATGTATTTTATATTAACAATTTGATTGGGTGTTTTGGATGGGCACTGATCTCTAATGTGGGAACTAGATTCAGGTTTTTAAAAAGAGGGGGGAGGTGACTTTGAGCAGGCATCTCATAGGAATGAAATCATAAATGGTAAGAAAATGGAGCAAAAAATGAAGCTGAAATTGAAGGAAATGGAATTTGAGCGACAAATTTAAACTGAGTTAAATTTTATCTGGATAAATTTTTTCAGATACAAACACTTTTTTAATCGGGGGTCACACACCTCTTAACTCCCCTGGATTCACCCCTGGTCTGACAATAGCCAGGATTATAATAAACTATCTCTGCAAGTAGAAGGTATTTGCTGTAAGAATATCTGCAAATAGTTAGACCTGGAAAATGACAGTTCCATCTCATTTAGGAATGCAACACAGAAGGCAGCAAGTTAATCATTAAATTATAAAAATTGAAGTGTCACCCTCTCTCTTATACTGGCCTTCCCTAAACATGATTCCAGGATTTTGGGCAGGCTCACATTTTTTTGGGGAAGGAGTACTTATTTATTAGTGTCATGTAGAAAAGAAAACCTTAGAACTGCAAAATCTCTCTTTCGAGATTAAAAAAAGTTCTCTTTAAGCTGGACATTATAGGAGGACCATTGGATAATAATCAAGGAAATGATTTTAATGCATTTTTAAACATTTAGACCTGCAATGTGATTGGGCTATGAGCCAGTAGACCATGATGAAGCACATTGTGGCTTTCTATAATACCATACCATAACCAATCGGGATGCAGTATTTATAGTTTCATTGTAATAAATTATGCGTTCGGGTGTGTAATGAAATAGAGAGAATAAGAGAAAAATATCAAATGCCCTTGGCAGGTATCGAACCCACGTCTTCGGTATTCCAGTCCGATGTCTATTCTTTGCATATATATTTACGGTGTTCAACTTACCTATAGAGAAAAAAATATCACTCTAGGATCCACACGAGTACCCTACATTTCATATTCTGGCTGCCTTACCAGCGTGGTTGGTCCTTGTAGTTTAGTGGTTAACACATCGGACTGGAATACAGAAGATGTGGGTTCGATTCCTGCCAAGGGCATTTCATATTTTTCTCTTATTCTCTCTATTTCTAGTTTCAGTTTGTTTTACGTTAGCTACCAGTTTGATTAACTACTAACCCTTGAACAAAAACATTTTAGGGTTCTGTGTCATGCCGTCTTATGCATGCTGGTGGAAATCCTGGTGAAGTTATCATGAAATTTGTAAAAGATGAGGGTGCAAACTTATTAATAGTAGGTTCCAGGGGTATGGGAGTCATCAGACGTACATTTTTAGGTAGTGTTAGTGATTACATTGTTCATCATGCAAGTATTCCAGTAATAGTAGTACCACCAAAATAGCGCTATGATACAGAATAATTTATAATATTTGCATCTATAGAGTTTGATTTAGTACTTAGATATATAGAGGATATAATATGGCCATGTGGAGATATGGATTCTAAATTCGAGTGTTGAGCTAATAAATTATCTTACTAGTAAGCACAGCGAGGTATTTTCAACACAAGAAGATAAAATATATGTATTTCCATAAATTTCGTAGCATACATAGATAATATCTATTGAGATAGAATGAAAAAAGAACTGAAAATGAAATATTAGAGTTTACCCATGTCACCCAGACAGAAAATAAAGGTTGGTCATAAGACAATGTGCAGCCAGAATAATTTGGAACTTTGGAACAGGGATAGTATGACAAAGCTAAAACTAATTTGGCCAATCATGACAATGGGTGCCAGCCACTCAAATATCTTCAGACAAGCATGTTTTTTGTTGTTTGGCTTTTAATCAAACATACTCCAAACGCATTTTGATTGAGAAGCAGTCATCAGACAATGTCGGTCCAGAATTGGAATTTGTCTGGACAAATCTTTGATTGGTCAGTCATTTTGTCCAGTAATGTTGAGCAAGAAACAAGGTATGACTGAGCTAAAACTAATTTAACTGGTGTCTTTAACCAGCCATATTTATTTTTGTCCCCCCCCCCCCCCCCCCCCCCCCCGCAGACATTTAATTCCTACATTAAATTGTCAAATTCACAGAAGTATAAAAAGCATGTAATCCAAAAAAAAGTACTTTAGTTTGAGTAATGTGTAGACTCAGGCATCAGGGACAGCTGGAAATCTGAGCCTTGAAATGTGCTAAATGGATAATAATATTTGAAATATTTATGTATGTAAACCAATACTTACATGTATACATCAAATTGAAACTCGCGTCTCGGTTAATATTCCCAGATATTCACTTCACCTTTGACGAAGAATTGCTAAATAGAATGACTCGTGGAATATTCCATGGTAGAGCACTTAAAGTATTGCATACAGGGCATGATGAGAAAGAAAATCATGAAAACCCAAAAACTACTATCGATACACATTTTTACAATGGCTTGCAAATTTCTCACGCGCTGATTGGTTATTTTTTATCATCAATAAGAGGACAGACAGATAAAGCTGACGTCAACGAGTGTGCGCTCTTTCCGATGGTCGTTTTGATCGCTAAAAATGAGAAGTTTTTATCGTTTTTGTTATTGTAAACACGCCTTGTGGATCCACACTACTTTGACAATGTGATGATGCAATTTATTGTCAATAAGAGGACAGACACATAAAAAACTAAAAAACTGATGTCAATTTGTTAAGTTTAGCATTCACTGCATACCACTACTTTTGAAGATCACAGACTCACTTGCACAGGCTTAGCCTCTTTTATAAGCCAGTTATTCACAGATACCTATACAACTCTTATCACTGCTATGCTCTGATGAAGACAACAGTTGCAACAGGGAAATAGGGCAATACACTGCCGCCAATCAGAGAATATAAAGGTACCGACCAATTTGATTGACAGAAGCGTACTACCCAATTTCCCTGTCGCGACTGTTGTCTTGATCAGCACGTACTAATGAAAACAGTGGTTAAGGTCCATGGGATTTCAAAACATTGGTATTATTAAAGCTGTACCTTTTTTACATTAGTTTTCCCAATGGATACAGAATGTCAGACAAACAAACTCAAATTCATTAGGTTTTTTTTATAGTAGTTATCTATTTTTTATTGATGTAACTTTGGATTACATTTAGTCTACGACATACATTTCAGCTTTTCTGCTGTATATAAAAATACAATTTATCTTGTTTGACATAGCAACAGTAACTAGGGACACAGAATAATGAATTTGGTATCAGTGAATTAAAGTAGAAGGGAGGGGAAACCTTCCTACAATATTGGAGAACTGCAGATTATGAAAAAAATGAATTTACAATCCTCATCTGCTCTTCATTTTGGCTGAAATTATTCTTACAGTAATATTCCAATTCCAAAAATACATTTTCTATTTTTTCAAAAATCTAAATTGAAATCTGTTGCATAGTTGGGTATTTTTTTGTAATCAACTCAATCACCTTTCATGGAAAAAATGCTTTTTGATTTTGTAAGGGAATCTTTCAGGTTAATACGAACTGCCAAAATGTATTGTGACTAATAAAGAACGATATGACAAGGATCCCATGTACTTTTACCCTAGAGTCTCCCCGGCCGTAATTTTTATAAGAATAGTCCAGGGTTTAGCAAAAATGCGATATCAATTGTACATAATGTGGGCTGTTATGGATTATTGGTAGTTAGGCTGCGTTCATAATGTATGGCAGAGGTGGGGCAGGTAAAATTGAGGGGGGATCGGATAAATTTTGGTAGGAAAAAGGGGGAATGGGCAAATTTTTATCAGAAAAATGAGGGAGATGCACAATTGTTGGAAGAAGCTACAAGCCTTGCTTACGGGTAATTGTATTTTTTTGCATGACTTTAAGGGGGGGTGTTGAGGATTATTCTGGAAATTTCAAATTTTCACCTGCCCCCCGCCCCCTACCCCCTGCCATACATTATGAACACAGCCTTACTCTTTAACAATGCTTTCAAGTGGTGTATACAGCATGTGTTACTTGTATACACACAAGGCTTTAGGCTTTATGTAACCAGCTGATCTGAGAAAAAAATGTTAGCCAATGGAAACAGAGAATATTTGCAAAACTGAGGTGTCGCTTTTGCTCTTGAAAGTATGGATTACCAGACCACCAAATGAAAAACGAACTGCTAATAAGAGATTGACAACAGTAACACAATAACTGAGTTATATATTTTTATTTCAATGGTGGACAGGTTTTTGATTTTCCCTGGTCGATTTTTACAGGGTTTAAGACACCTAAGTTTTGCAGTGACGTCATTTCTACATCACTATTTCAGATCAGCTGGAAAAAGAGAAAATACAAGTGATGTGTGGGATATGCAACAGCTTTCCTGCATATTTCTAATTGTCTGTATTTTCTATGGAGTGGGATAAGTCATAGTATCCCCTCGTGTGTATCAGGTACAAAAACTGACACCTTGCATGTTGATTTAGATTTGGCAATCGACCTTTTTAGTTTGGGTGTATTTATCCATCTCATGTACCACGTGTCATTATCTTGGGAATGAGATTCTCTGTTTGAGTGTACCCTAGGGAATGACATGTGGTCTGCAGAAATGCGCCCAAGCTAAAAACATCTATAATGGCATCTTTTGTGTCTTCTTCATTCAATATAGCATGCAATAAGCAATATAGCATGGATATTTGTAATTGAACTGTTCAGAAAACCATTTAAAATATTTACTTCCTAAACGAAAAATATTTACATTCATTTTTGATCCAAATGATTAAATACACTTTGGAATAGGCCTAATGTCTTGATGTATAGTGCAGGAATATTTACCCATTTCAGACCACGTGTCATTCTTGTTTAAGTTGTATCCATATTCATGTATCTTCTCGTGTACAACCCTTGAACAAAGAAGTAATACTCAAGGGGTGTCTATAATTGAAAAACATTGCACCAAGAAAAATTGGGTCTGGTTTTTTTCAGTGAACTTTGTCTGCAAGGGAGTTGCAAGACACGTTTCAACAGTTGGAAGGTAATATACAGCGCATTTTCCAAAATAAACTATTGTTTCCTTATTCTTGAAGTGACACGTTAAAATACAGCGTTTTATCAAAAAACCGTTGGAAATTCTTCCGAATTAAAACTTGTGTAGGAAAGCCTAAACGTGATTTCATGTCTCGTATCGTTCTTTCCAACTTTCCCTTTAGTGTCTAGCAATTTCGTTGTACATAAAATATTCTGCACTTTAGTTGCGCCCACGCGGTAGGGTCTCATGGAAATAGCCCACCTTCGAGATGTGCTTCGCTTGTCACGCACAAAGGTTTCAGTATAAGGCTACGTGCTAAATTAAATTAATTCTTACCGCCTGTCACGAATGACTGAGCATTTAGCACGTAGCCTCGTACTGAAACCCTTGTGCGTGATAAGCGAAGCGTCGGAAAGGGGTTATTGCTCAGGGGGCGGATATAAGGTAGCGGTGCAGGGAGTGTTTTCCCTCTTCCCCTCCCCTCCCCCCCACAGAAGTGGCGACATCTCATTACGTACTGCATTATCGGTGAATGCGTTTGAGAATTTCCAGATCAAAAACAATGTACCCCTCCTGAAAAATCCTGGATCCGCCCCCGAAATTGTTGCAGACGAAAGTAGAACTACTCTATGTATAAGCCGAAACGATTGCAGCATTATGCAAATACTATGATTGCGAGACAGTTAGAAAAAAGGCTCATTGAGTTAGCAAGTGCAGCTTCTACACGTAAAAATTGTGTACAAAGGCACGAAAAGAAAATTTTTGGAAACGGAAGTTTCATTTATCGTAAAGCCATCGTGTAGCGCGGCGTTGCGTTTGCCTGATACGCATTTCATGTAACTTATGTAAATGAGACACCATTTAACAAGGCTTTAAACAGGAGAAAACCATGTCGCAGGTTCATAAAGTGGGGACATGTTTCAATGATAGTTTTCTTTTGTATGCAGGGACAAAAGTTTGTCCCCGCTACAAGGTGCTTGGTGGTTAATAAAAAATAGTATGTGTGCCATAAAAAGGGAACTATTTGGTCTTTCACGTTTTGAAAAATTTAGTTCGCCGCCAAGGGCAGACCGCATCACATGGGATAGTTAACTCCTCTTGACCCAGAGAAGGTCATTGATTTTGAATCGGGTAGAAAGCGTGTTAAAATAGGTATAATGAAAGACGTGCGACGTGAGCCAAATCAAACAAATTGCATTTTGGTACATGTCAGTGAGTAGATGTGTGTGGCAAACTTTGTTATTGGTGGGGTCTGTGAAATATATGTTCGTCTTTTCTCTTTTTACTTGATTGTAAATTAGTATTGAAAACACCTGTTGGGATATACCGATAAACTTATTGTTTTTTACCTATTATATTGTTAATGTATTGTATTGTAGAGTGCAAACAATATAACAAATTCCATTGTTTTCTATCGGTTTAATTAGCACTATTTTGTACTATTTAGTAATTAGTATCCTTGAACCATCCTACTATCATATAAACTATATCCTTTGCATTATCACGTTTGTTCAATTTTAGATAAATTAGGACACAGTTTTTCCAGATTCTGGATAGTTTCTGTAGAAAGGCGAGTGAGCTTTTGTCGCACACAAAGATATCGAAGCCTTGGATTCATTCTTGCTATTTCACGAATATTCTCATCAATATTCCTACATTTGTAGTTTTGGACATCCAACAACACAAGATTCTTACAATAACGAGGAATCACATTCAAAATGTCAATCGATGCCATACTTCTCTTTCCAAACCCTAACTTCAACCCCTCAAGCGACGGACTTTTAGCTAGGAAGACTTTGAGACCACTACTTGAAATTCTGACTGTATTCCTTAAATTTATATGCTTGATAGTTTTAGACTTCGTTAGAATCTGTAGACCCACGTTTGTAACCTTTTTACAACCCTCAAAACTCAAGTTAACCAAACGTCTTGCATGACGTGCAAAGTAAAAAAATGGTAGGTTAGAAATCCAAGAATTGCCACTTACGTTTAGAGTCTTTAGAACTCGCAATGTCCGCGCTGTAAAGATAGCTCCCTCGTCCGTAATGGCGCTGCAGCTGCTTATATCTAGGTTTTCAATAAAGGGACAATTTTTCGTAATAATTTCAAGCCCAGTATCAGTAACCAATTTGCAGTTGGAGAGATTTAAAGTATGAAGTAGATGACATCTTCTAGCGATATGAAAGAGAGTAAAGTTCGTTAAAGAGCGACAACAGTGACCAGAAAAGTCAATAGCGCTTACAACCGCAACTGGAAGACGAATGATAAGACAAATTATGTCTTTGTCTTTGAGTTTTACATTACTACTAATTGCAGATTTTGAGGAGAAATCCATTTTGTTCCAAAGAGAACGGTCCTGACAAACGTTATACCATTTTTTGCACAACATGGAAGCTTTTACGCAGTCTTGAGAATTGAGGTAGGAAACGATTTGGAGAATGATGTTGTCTGGAAGGTGATCAAACCCGAATGAAAAACTATCTGTTTCCATATCCAGTAATGCTTGTTCAAATTCTTTATCATATCGTTGCCTAGAAATGAAAGCCAAATAACGTTATTTAAAATGAACGGCAAATTACATGAGATCTTTTGTTTACTGCCAACATCTCCCTCGAGTTTATATTAATGAAAACTAGTTATAAAAGGGATGCCAAAATAAAAACGACTAACTAATATCAAATTGGGGTTTGAAAATTTCCTTCCTTTCTTCCTCCCTTGCTTCCTTCCTTGCTTCCTTGCTTTGCTTGCTTGCTTGCTTGCTTGCTTGCTT